CAGTACTGCTACTCTGACTTTTTTCTTGAAATTGCTATTGGCCTTCAAGCTTGAGCTAAACTCCCATGATTTTAGCTGATGATGCTCTATGCGGAAACCTGTTGAAGCTGAAAACCCAACTACAACCTTCTCTGGAAGAACCTGCATAAGATCAATTACCAAAGAAAGACTGGAAACCTGTTGATCTGAGGATTTCCTGTATGACCAAGACACACTCAAGTTCTTGGTGCTAGCATTGTAAGTAATCCAGACATCAGCAGTGTCTCCACTATGCAGGCTAGCATTCCAATAGGTGTACTTAGATGACGCAAGGGAATTGTTGTTGATTCCCACATGGTTGTCAACATCATGAGGATCCCATTCGTCATGGCGAGAATCAAACTCAACATGAACTGTTTGGTTCCGGAGTGCGCCATGATTTGTAGGAAGTTCTAGGCCTAGAAAGCCACCAGCTACATTTTGTGGGATGTAAAATGCAAGTGCATCGGCTGTCATGAAAAAAGCAAGTCCATGACCATAATCTGATTTTTCTTGAGTGTCAATTGAGAAGGAAAAATGAGTGCTTAAGTCTGATAGCTTTTGAGTGCTGGAGTCCCAGATTTGGACATTCTTAGCATAGATAACTCTGCCAATACTGCATCCATGGTTGATATTTGTGAGATCAACAGCTCCACCTGAAGCATTTGCATCTCCCCTGTAGATTATGTTTTGAGTGTTCTTCTCAAAATGAGTTATGTTGAATGAAATTGAATCAACATGAGGAAGAAAAGAAAGGAACGATAAGAGACAAAGAAACAAGCTTGATGATTTTTCAAAAGAATTTGCCATGGTTTGAGAGGGGAATAAAAAACAGGGAGCTTGTTCCTTGATCTGTCTTGATATTCAAGTCTCAGTTCAAAGAAAATACAATAAGGAAACCTCCTTGAATATTAAGTAAATTTATACTTGGACAGAAAGCTTTTAAGAGATAATTTAAACTATTTCTGTATTTGAGGTTATTTTCCACATCAAAATTCTTACTAAAGCTTAGAAATTGTAGACTAAGGTTATATTAATATGTCATCAACAAACACAATCAGGAGAGATCATTTTAAAAAAATCCATAAATGGCTGTGTTGCTTCTCCTTCTGATTGCCAATTCATCTCCGTATGCACAAATATGACTGACCCCAAAAAAAATTGTATACTGTCTTTTCCAGAGTCAATGGACAATTTCTCCATATATGCCTATTGTTAGTATGTCAACATCTTATCCGCATACCCCGAAAATTGTGTTGCTTCCTAGTTGAATAGCTCATTCAAGAACTGTCGTTGATCCAGTCCGCAAGCATAATAGAAAAACAACCTGTAAGAATAATGAAAAAGACAAATCCCTGGATCTTCAAAAGAAAGATTTTGTACGGTTCAGTACGATTAATGATATAGATTACAAACTCGGTATTCCTTACTCAAAAATGTTCCTTTGTACATGTATCCTATGTCTTAAAATTTATAATAAGTAATAAGAGGTAAAATTCTGCTTGGATATGTTTGTAATAACATCAATAAAGAATGAATTTTGAATAACTAAAAAAAAGAAAAAGAAAAAGAGAGGGTAGAATAAAGATAAATAGGTAGGAAGTCAAAGTGACTTTTCTCAGGATAGAAGACTATTCAAGCTGGATTATATATTGAGTTACTATTCCAAGTGATTCTAATTCAGATTATACCCCCCATATATATATTATAGAAGCTTATCATATATAAAGGTACTGTACCCAGGTCTCTAAATAATGCGTTCTTAGCTATCAAAAGTTTGTGTATGTAGAAGGCCAACTACGATTATTTCTCTTTCTTTGCTCATAATAAAAAAAACTAAGATATAATATTGTCAACCTGGTTTACGAGTTCCTGATAAGCCAAAAGAAGATCAAGAATTGCAGAAAGAAAAATGATAGAGTAAAAAAAAAAAAAAAGTGAACTAGAAGAGGGAAAAAAAGTAAGTTGCAGAGAGAAAATTAGGGAGGAACTGCTAAAATTTTCTCTAGACATTTTCTACCAGAAAAGCCTGACACAGTCATTTCGTCGAGCAATTCATCGGCAAGTCACTAATACTAACTCAGAACCCATTAAGGAAGCAAAACATACTTGTCATCCTTCTAGGCGTCCTTCCCGTCGCCACAATCAAATTGCAGTTCAACTATGGCTTCCTTCAGTTTCTCCTTTAGTAGTTTCTGTCACAGATCAGTCTCTTTGGTCATGACACTACCGTCACTGAAAATCAATCCTTGATCTTCCTCAGAGTTCAGGAAATTGGACTTTCACGAAGGTCACATCTACCCTTTTATTTTCAAATTGCATTTTTGGAACACCATCTGCAAAGTCTGCAACTTGGCTCAGCAAAGAACTCCACAGTCTTTGAGTTCTTTCAGTTCCCATTTGGGTTTTTACTTTCCACTTTTCAATTCTCCATTTTCTCATCAGATTCTCTCTGTCAATAAATCTTGTGGGTTTTCTTTCAAATCAACTTAGACTAGTTACCACTTACAGAATCAATACAAGACGACCTTTGTAAGTATACATGAGCCCACTTAACAGTGATAATTTACATTAGGTTTTCTTGTAATAATGAACAAATACACCAATTCATTCGCAGGGTGACAATTGAATTATACAACCCTTTTAGCCATTAAAGAACACCAATTAATGTACAGTAGAAGGCAATACATTTTCCTCCTCCTAATATAAAAAAGAATCCTTACATGACACTTGCTTTAGACGAATGGCTTATGACTCTTCCATGATCTCATTTGATTAATCAATTATTAATTTTTTAATGTTTATTGACTGCTTCTCTCTTTTCCCTACGAACCTTCTGATGTAACCACTCTGTCGTAAGAAAACAAAATAAAATCTCACATATATGATATTATAATTAAGTTTCAAACTCCCAAAAACAATATAATATAAAGTAATTCCTACATTATAAATATATTTATGGTGGTCGTATGATTTGAATCATGCACTTGTTTTAATTTTGTTTAAAGAAACATTGAATTTGAACTACCAATTAAGCTTAAGCTTAAGCTTAATCAAATAAATTTTGAATAAGTTAAATAAGCTCAATAAAAAGGTCAAGTCATATTTTATATTTGAAGAATTTTATAAATAAATTCAACATAAAATAATATATGAATATATGTAATTATTAAAATATAAAATTTTTAAGATATATAAAATTTATTAATTTATATATTAAAACTTTAAAATATATAATATATCACATATCACATATCTCTTTTTTTTATTACAAAGGGAAAGAAGAACGTAACAACGCAGAAATCAAACGCGTAAATATTACACGTTTTAAGTCAGGAGATTCCAATGAAATTTTTACAAATGATATTCAATATTTTCGTAGAGAAGTAATGCATTTAATAAAATCAAGGATGTCAGATTCGCCAAGTAGTCAGTATAACGATTCTCTTTCATAATAGGTATACTGTATTTTCGCAGTCCAATTTTTGATGAGTTAAATCTTAATAATCAAAATTCGGTAGGGATTAACATTGATAAAATTTATTTCTTTGTTGGAAATTTTATTTAAAAATTGTACACCGAGAGCATTATCCATTTTCAAGATAACGTAATCCAAACCCAAGTTTCAAGCCAGCACGAGACCATCCACGAACCCTCGCAGTTCAGCCAGCAAAACAGAGCAAGTGTCAATGTTCCTACAATGCCCCCAAGCTACTAACCATTGTTATCTCTTCCAATCACACTGGCACAGGTCGTCTCCCTGCTCCTACGAAGAGCAACGAATGTGTTATCACATATCCTTTTTAATAAACTGAGTCAAATATATTGACGTCATTAATAACTAAATTAATTTTAGTTATATAAATTTTCTTTTCAAATTTTAGTTCTTCTCTGGTTATTGCTTGAGTGGGAGCAAGTGGAACTTAAAATTAACCAAACGAAAGTGAGAAAAAGAAATTAAAAAAAAAAAAATTAGATTCATGATCGTTGAGTGGATGAAATTTAAAATTACCACTTCCAGATTGACAACTCATAGGAAACAGGTCAATCCTTTGATCTTTGACCAAGGACGTTCTAATTTATTTCATAATAACTGTAACAGTGATGTTGGACAAGAACAGCTCAACTGCAATCTCTTGAGTTTCTTCACCTCGTTAGATTAAACACCGAGCGTGTCTGCATTAGAACAACCATATAGTTGAAGATTACCTGTTGAGTTCTTCAAGTAAATAGTTCATTCGATTATGGCTCTCACCAACTCAATTTCATTTTTGAGCACCAAGCTCCCTTCTCACTGTATCATCTTTTTCATAATCCTGATAATCTCTCACGGAGATTCACTTTCTTTTAACTTATCGGGTTTTAGTCCTCACATGGAAGACATAATTTTCGAAAACGACTCGTTGGTGTTCCCATCAGATCCAGTTATTCAGCTGACGAGGAACCAGGCTGACAACAATCTCAGCGGCAGCGTCGGCCGAGCTTTGTACGCCCACCCAGTTCGTCTCTGGGATGCCAAGACGAAAGCTCTCACAGATTTCATCACCCACTTCACTTTCGTCATGAAAGCGCTTGACAATGACTCATTTGGAGATGGAATCGCCTTCTTCCTTGCTCCCTTGGGCTCGCGAATTCCTCCCAACTCCAGCGGCGGCGGACTGGGTCTGTTCACCGATGATCAATCTGCTTCCGATTCTTCCAAAAACCAGATTGTCGCCGTTGAGTTTGATAGTTATAAGAATTCTTGGGACCCAGATGATAAGCACGTGGGTATCCTTGTAAACTCCATTATTTCAGTAACGAACGTGACCTGGAAAGATAGCATTAGAGATGGAAAAAAAGCCAACGCTTGGGTGAGTTACAACTCGTCAACTCACAACTTGAGTGTGTTTTTAAGTTATGCTGACAATCCAGTCTTGGGCACCAACTCGAGCCTCTGGTTTGAAATCGATTTGCGGGATGTTTTGCCGGAGTGGGTCAGAGTAGGCTTCTCAGCGTCGACCGGCCAGTTTGTTGAAATCCACAACATTCATTCATGGAGTTTTAATTCGACTCTGGAGGCCGGAGATGGGAAAGAGAAAGTCAACGTGGGTCTTGCTATTGGGTTAAGTTGTGTTGGTCTTGCTGTATTGGCTTGTGGGTTTGGCTTCTTCTGGTTCGTGATTTGGAGGAAAAGATCAGATCAGAGAGAAGATGATGAAGCCATTGATGTCGCCATGAATTATGAATTTGAAAGAGGGACTGGCCCTAAGAGGTTCACTTACCGGGAACTGAGCCGGGCGACGAACGGGTTCGCCGAGTCAGGGAAGCTCGGCGAAGGAGGATTTGGCGGCGTTTATAAAGGTCAGTTAAGCGAACCCAATGGAGAAATTGCCGTCAAAAAGGTATCAAGAGGATCAAGACAAGGCAAGAAGGAGTATATATCAGAAGTTAAGATCATTAGCCGTTTGCGACACAGGAATTTGGTTCAACTAATCGGTTGGTGCCATGAAAAATCAGAGTTCCTTCTTGTCTACGAATTCTTACCAAATGGAAGCCTTGACACCCACCTGTTCGGATCCAAAACAATGCTAACTTGGCCCATGAGATACAAAATAGCTCAAGGCTTAGCTTCCGCCCTCTTGTATCTTCACGAAGAATGGGAACAATGCGTGGTGCACAGAGATATCAAGTCCAGCAATGTCATGTTGGATTCATATTTCAATGCCAAGCTTGGTGATTTCGGCCTTGCAAGGCTTGTAGACCACGAACTTGGCTCGCAAACCACTGTCTTGGCTGGCACCATGGGCTACCTTGCCCCTGAATGTGTCACCACAGGAAAAGCTAGCAAAGAATCTGACATCTACAGCTTCGGCGTCGTGGCTCTTGAAATCGCCTGTGGAAGAAAGCCTGTTGAGCCAAGAGCAGAGGAGAGTAAGGTGAGGCTAATAGAGTGGGTTTGGAATCTGTATGGAGAAGGCAATTTGCTTGAAGCTGTTGATTACAGATTAGAGAGAGACTTTGATGAGCGGCAAATTGAGTGTTTGATGACTATTGGGTTATGGTGTTGTCACCCAGATTACACTATGCGCCCATCCATATGGCAAGTTATCAATGTGCTCAATCTTGAAGCTCCATTGCCGAGCTTACCGTCCAAGTTGCCTGTGGCGATGTACTGTTTGCCGCCCATGGATATCTGCAACTTCTCTTATACATCCAGTGGCTTCACTGGTTCTGACAGAGATAGAACAGAATGTTCTACTAGCTGCTCCGCATATTCTTCCAAGTCAGCTGGCACTACTCAAGCTTTACGTAAGTCAATCTCTGATTCATGATTAGCCAAAAATGGTAAATTCGAACCATATTATTCACATTTCCAGCAACTCAGATTCGATTCACAGAGCATGTAATTTGAATAAGTGTTGTATAATGAGAGTGCGGGGTTGATTTTTGGATGGTACATACAAATGAGTAACTTCGTAAGCTCAATAGCAGCTAAGTTTCAAAACATTTCTATGTTGAATTCAAAATACAAGATTCCTACTTAAATTTTTTAATGGGAATTTGAATTATCACTATCCAGACTAATAATTGAGCAGAAATTTAATGATAACTGAATCAAATGCAATAGTTGTTTCCTTGAAAATTCTAACTAACCAGCCCGTAAGAATCTCTCTTTGCAGATGATTATGGATTTTGATGTTCTTCAGAAAGGGGTGACCTGGAGTGGCTCATCACCTAATGAAGCCATTAATATTTTCTGAATAGAAACCATTCCATCATTTTACAAATAAATTGTCATAGCAGACTGTATCTATACATTTACATAACGCGTATATATGTAAAAGAATGGAAAAGAAGTAGGATTTCTACACGAGAGGAATTTTTAAGGATCTGCAACCTATCAAAAGATACTGATTATGCCTGAAAAGAGTCAAAGTATAATTAATTCATCTGAACAGAATTCATTAGATAACAATGAAAAATGTCTATGACAATTACAATTACAGAGTTATTGATGCTTGTAAATATGAATCCCACAGCACAGCAATTTCTTGAACTACTACAACTAATCAAACAAAAAGAAGAAAAATCGCCTTATTAGCGACCAACATTAACACTCGAATAAGTGATTGAAGGTTCACCAGAGCTGACAGAAGGAGTAGGCACATGATACGTTGGCACAGGCATTTTGTCTGGAAGATCTGGCAAGGCGGTTTCAAAGTTCAGAACTTGGATCACTTGTCTTATTGATGGCCTTAAGTTTCTATCAGGATGAGCACACCAAAGACCAGCACATATCAGACACTCTGCTTGTTTCTCATCAAATTCACTCAGCAATCTCTCGTCCACGACTGAGATTCCCTCTCCCTTGCCGTACAGTTCCCAGACCCACTCTACCAATCCCATTTCGGATTTCCCTTTGGCGGGATCAACTGATTTTCTTCCTGTAACAATTTCTAGAGCAACAACTCCAAAGCTATATACATCAGATTCTTTACTAGCCCTTCCTGTGCTTATATATTCAGGAGCCAAGTAGCCAAAAGTGCCAGCCAGTCCAGTTGTTTGGGGACCGAGCTCGTGATCCATCAATCTAGCTAATCCGAAATCACCAAGCTTGACATTGAAGCTGGAATCCAGCATTACATTGCTTGACTTGATGTCACGGTGCACGACACATTGCTCCCACTCTTCGTGAAGATAGAGCAACGCAGAGGCTAATCCGATAGAGATCTTGTACCTTACAGGCCAAGCAAGAGGACTTCTTTTTCCAAAGAGATGGGAATCAAGGCTACCATTTGGCATGAACTCATATACTAACAAGAATTCTCCTTTATCATGACACCAGCCAATAAGCTGCACAAGGTTCCTATGTCTCAATCTGCTAATCACCTTTACCTCCGTTATGTACTCTTTTTTCCCTTGTCTAGATCCTCTCGAAATCTTTTTTACAGCTACCAACATATCTAAATCAGCTAGGTACCCTCTATAAACTTCCCCAAATCCTCCTTCACCCAACTTTCGTTCATTCGAGAAGTTGCTTGTGGCAGAAGCAAGATCTGTGTAGGAAAACCTTCTTGGTCCTGCTCCTCTTTCAAGATCATCATTGATTGATGTCAAGTTCATTTCCTCTGGTGATTTCTTCCTCATCTTCTGTTTTCGATGCCTGATGATTAGTCCAACCATGATCAACAAAGCAATCACAAAAAAGCCCGAGACAGAAACGCCAACTATTATCGCAATCTTCCTTGAAGGTCCCTTTGGCTCCTCCAAACTTGAATTAAACTCCCAGGATAGAAGGGTATGTCGTTCGAATCTTGAGCCAGTAGAAGCCGAAATTCCAACAGTAACCCATGGAGGAAGAGCCTTAGAAAGATCAATTATTTGATGCAGATTTGAGTTCTCTCGGGGGTCAGAGGTTAACTGGTATGACCAAGACACGCTCAAATTTTTAGTGGTGGCATTGTACCTAATCAACGCAACTGCAGTGTCTCCGCTATGGCGACTTGCATTCCAAGCTGTATAGACAATAGAAGAAATGGAGTTATTGTTGATCCCGACATGGGTATCCACATCAACTGGATCCCATTCTTCATTGTTGACAGTATCAAACTCCACCATGACAGTTTTACTGGCGGGTGAAAAGCTCGTTGTTGTGTTAAATAAACCAAGAAAGCCACCAGCAGAATTGGGAGGGATCTGAGCCCCGGCTGGAGCAAGAAAGAACGCGAGGCCGTTGCCGAAAGACGAGCTGTTTAGCGTGTCGATGACGAAGGAGAAACGGGTCGAGAAATCGGAGAGCTTGCCGGAATCGGGGTCCCAAAGGGGTACCCTCTTGGAGAAGGTGACCCAGCCGACACGGCAGACGAACTTGAACTCGTTGGTGATCTCAGCAGCTCCTACTCTCGGAACTGCATCTCCTTGGTAGAGAATGTTGGGTTCAGTGTTTTCAAAGCGAGAGACGTTGAAGAAGACTGAGTTGGCGGAAGGAAGGTGGAGGATCAGAAAGGTGATGATGAGCAAGATAGCGGAGAAATGGAGTACTGACCATTTGGTGGTGGCGGCGGCCATGGCAATCAAAATTTTGGAGACTGCCCAGCAGGATGATGTAAAAACATATATACACACACACACACTTACACACAAACACACAAAATTATTGTTGTTTTTCTTGATGTAAAAGTTTCAAACTTCCAACAACCAGAAACTTCAGTTGATTTATATGGAAGAAGCTTCATTGAACGTGATCATTTGAAGGATATGATCATGAAAACATAAACTATTAATTAACACCTATTATTATAGGCCGGCATTACATTGCACGTAAGTAATAGCTGAAATCAAGTATTACGCAGATACATATTCTGCGTTTGTATCTATATATATATATATATATATATATATATATATATGGTTCCTTATTATGATAACATCAATTAAAGAGATTAAAAATACATTTCTTGGACCAGGTTCCTCCAATAAGTATTCAACATAGCTGTAGAATGCTTAATTATTGAATTAACCTCTTTTCAAAGATGAAATTATTAAATTAAGCTTCTTTAATCGGATAATGAGAGAAAAATGTGTACCTACTTCTAAATTTTTTTAGTTTCTATCTGCTGATCCTGTTGTAGTCCAGTCAACTTAAGAAAAATACATCATCTCTTCATATAAATACATGTATATATGTATATATAAGAACAATTTAAGAATCAAAACAACAGTTTAACTGGTTATAGAATTCTGCTTCCATTTCAATGTCTATGAACAGGCTTATTAATTAAAAGAAGCAACTGACCAAGCCAGCCAGATGAAATTTCATGACTAACACAATTTAATTCTTCCAAATTTTTACAATAATTCAGTTCCTTTACTTCAATTCGTTTTTATCATCTCCTATAAACTATCATTCAATGCTTATTACGATTTAATACAAGTTCAACTTATTTTTATTTTTTAACGAAAAATTAAAATAATTAAATCATATTAAACCATATTTTTATTATAATTTAACTTTTCTGCGAGAGTATAATTATAATTGAATCAATGTACGAAATATTTAACTAAATAATTATTTACTCAATTTATAATATAACAATAAGGCAGAGGTACAAATCGTGCAAAAGATATATGAAATCATTTGAATTTTTTTTTTACTCCTTATCTTTTGGAACAAATCTGAAATACCAAGCAAAGAATTGCTAGAGTTGGATTACATCATTACTGAAAGAAGAGAAGTAGATGAGTCCTCAAAAGATTATATATATATATATATATATATATATATATCTACACTCCAAATGATTAATTAATTAATTCAAATAAATTCGAACTACCAACGTTAAATATTTGTGTTTAAATCAAATATCATAAGTTTAAATTTTATTAAAAACATAAAATTTATTATTTTATATGTGTATTATGTACTAACAGTAACAATATATTTATAATATTTTATTCAGTAAAAGTAATGATTTAATTTATTAATATATTAATAAAATTAAAGTAATTAATTTAGAGTTAGTTTCATTGAGCTATAACGTATTCGAAAAATTAAACCTAGTTTATATATATATATAACCGAATAAATTTTAATATTTTCATCAATAATTAATAATTTATACAATCTTAACAAAGATAATAAAATTTAAATATCTTTATAATTTAATTTTATTGCTATTCAAATTCTTCTTTTTTTATTACATTTCAGTTTACTAGATTTATTTCTTTTTTATGTGAAAATATTAATTTTTGAAGAACATTATTATATACTTGACTTTTTAAATATAAAAAACATGAAGTTTATGGTAATTAAATAAATCAAAATTGCATATAAAATTACTATAAAATAATGGTTTTAAAAACCAAACTATAGAAACTGAATTATAAATATATATATATATATATATATATATATATAATTTGAATTCAAAGTCTTGCTTTATTTTTTATACAAATAAGATTGTAAATTAATTTTCCTTAAAAAAAAAAGTCGTGTAAAAATTATATAAATTTTAGGAAATCAAGTTACTTGCCAAAGACGTAGGTTTTTAATATATATATATATATATAGATATATATATAATATTAAAACAAAGCTACTCTGCAGCTTACATCGGGCACAGTCATGACATTGAAATCAAATATAAAAGAATGATATGAATCATATATTATATGATATAGAACTGGAGATGTAATGACCAGCCTGGAAGAATATCTCTTGACAGATGCATGATTATATTATATATATATATATATATATATATACGTACACACGTTATTTGATGTCGTTGACTTGGATAACCTCATGATCCATGGGAATTTCCAACTTGGGAAAATTATTTATCAAAATATCTAATATTTAAATATGTTTTCCAGAGTAGGGTAAATTTTGTCCGCCTAAGAGACGCAGTGAAATTCACACTTACCACCACCATTGCGGGAGTCCGACAAAATTTAGGAAAATTAAATTTTTTAAATTTATTTCAAACTATCAATTTTTTTTAAAAAAAAAAAATTGAATGAAAAATAGAAAAGAGTTAACTATTGGGCTTTCAAATTGTTTAATGGGCCTGCGGTTTACGACCCGGAATCCAGAGAATTGGATTGGGCCGGGCCCAAATACCTTCACATTAACGTTGAATACATGTCTATTTATAGGCTGCAAAGACAAAAAGTTGTAATTGTCTGAATGGTCGACACTCTGCTTGTTTCTCATCAAATTCACTCTGCAATCTCTTGTCCACGACTGAGATTATCTCTCTCTTTCCGTAAAGATCACAGACCCACTCTACTAATCCCATTTCGTACTCTCTTTTGCCAGGATTAACTGATTTTCTTCGTGTGACAATTTCTAGAGCAACAACTCCAAAGCTATATACATCAGACTCTTTACTAGCCCTTCCTGTGCTTATATATTCAGGAGCCAAATAGACCAAAGTGCCAGCCAGCGCAGTTGTTTGGGGACCGAGCTCATGATCCATCAATCTAGCTAATCCGAAGTCACCAAGCTTGACATTGAAGCTGGAATCCAGCATTGCATTGCTTGATTTGATGTCGCGGTGCACAACACACTGCTCCCATTCTTAATGAGGATAGAGCAATGCAGAGGCTAATCCTATAGAGATCTTGTACCTTACAGGCCATGCAAGAGGACTTCTTTTTCCAAAGAGATGGGAATCGAGGCTACCATTTGGCATGAAATCATACACTAACAAGAATTCACCTCTGTCATGACACCAGCCAATGAGCTGCACAAGATTCCTATGTCTCAATCTGCTAATCACCTTTACCTCCGTTATATACTCTTTTTTGCCTCGTCTAGAGCCTCTTGAAATCTTTTTCACTGCGACCAACATATCTAAATCAGCTAGGTATCCTCTGTAAACTTTCCCAAACCGTCCTTCACCCAACTTTCGCTCATTCGAGAAGTTGTTTGTAGCAAAAACAAGATCTGTGTAGGAAAACCTTCTTGGTCCTGCTCCTCTTTCAAGATCATCGCTTATTAATGTCAAGTTCATTTCCTCTACTAATTTCTTCCTTATCTTTTGTTTTCGACGCCTCATGATTAGTGTAATAGTGATCAACAAAGCAATCACAACCAAACCCGAGAGAGAAACACCAACTATTATGGCAATCTTTCTTAAAGCTCCCTTTGGCTCCTCCAAACTTGAATTAAACTCCCAGGATAGAAGGGCATGTCGCTCGAATATTGAACCAGTAGAAGCCGAAATCCCAACAGTAACCCATGGAGGAAGAACCTTAGAAAGATCAATTACGTAATCCAGACTTGATTCCTCTTGGGAGTCAAAGGTTAACTGGTATGACCAAGACACACTCAAATATTTAGTGGCGGCATTATACGTAATCTCCGCAACTGCAGTGTGTCCTTTCTGGCGTTCTGCATTCCAAGCTGTTGTAGACAAAAGAAGCAATAGAGTTATTGTTGATCCCGACATGGGTATCCACATCAACTGGATCCCATTCTTCATTGTTGACAGTATCAAACTCCACCATAACTGTTTTACTGGCGGTTGAGAAGCTCGTTGTTGTGTTAAATAAGCCGAGAAAGCCCCCACGAGAGTTGGGAGGGATCTGAGACCCGACCGGAGCAAGGAAGAAAGTGAGCCCGTTGCCAAACAACGAGTTGTTTAGCGTGTCAACGACAAAGGAGAAATGGGTCGAGAAATCGGAGAGCTTACCGGAATCGGGATCCCAGAGGGGTACCTTTTTGGCGAAGGTGACCCAACCGAGACGACAAACGAACTCGAACTCGTTGGTGATCTCAACAGCTCCGACTCTCGGAACTGCGTCTCCCTGGTAGAGTATGTTGGGTTCGGCGTCTTCAAAGCGAGAGACTTGGAAAGAGACTGAGTTGGCGGAAGGAAGGTGGAGGATCAGAAAAGTGATGATGAGCAAGACAGCGGAGAAATGTGCTGACAATTTGGTGGTGGCAGCCATGGCAATCAAAATTTTGAGACGGCCCAGCAGGATGATATAATATAAATAAATAAATATATATATATATATATATATACAAACACACAAAATTATTGTTGTTTTTCTATATTTAAAAGTTTCAAACTTCCAACAACCAGAAACTTCAGTTGATTTATATGGAAGAAGCTTCATTGAACGTGATCATTTGAAGGATATGATCATGAAAACACAAACTATTAATTAACACCTATTATTATAGGCCGGCATTACATTGCACGTAATTAATTGCTGAATTCAAGTATTACATAGATATATATTCTGCGTTTGTATCTATATATATATATATATATATATATGGTTCCTTATTATGATAACATCAATTAAAGAGATTAAAAATACATTTCTTGGACCAGGTTCCTCCAATAAGTATTCAACATATCTGTAGAATGCTTAATTATTTAATTAACCTCTTTTCAAAGATGAAATTATTAAATTAAGCTTCTTTAATCGAATAATGAGAGAGAAAAATGTGTACCTACTTCTAAATTTTTTTAGTTTCTATCTGCTGATCCTGTTGTAGTCAAGTCAACTTAAGAAAAATACATCATCTCTTCATATACATACATGTATATGTGTGTGTATATATATATATATATAATTTATTGAGAAGAGATTTGTGAACAAGTCTGGTAAATTGATCTTCACAACACAAAGTTCTTCTTTTTCTTTTTGAACAAATCTAACATACCAAGCAAAGGACTGCTACAGTTGTGATTACACATCATTACCGGAAGAAATGAAGTAGATGAGACCTCAAAAGAGAAAAATATATACACTCCAAATGATTAATTTAAAATGGAAATCAAGGCATGAACCAACAAAAATTACTTGTCAAAAAGGTAAGTTTTTGATATGTACGTACATATATATATATATATAACATTAAAAGAAAGCTTCTCTGCAGCTTCCATGGTGCATGGTCAGACATTGAGATCAAATATAAAAATAGGATATGAATCACAAATTATATGATATAAAACTGGAGACGTAATGACCAGCCTGGAATAATATTTCTTGACAGATACATGATTATATGATTATATATGTGTGTGTGTGTGTGTGTATACACCTGAGATTTAAATATGTTTCCCAGAGTAGGGCAAAATTTTGTCAGCCAAAGAGACGAGTACATTCACACTATCACGACATGTCAGAAAATTTTCCAGAGGGAAGGTTTAGGCTTACAAGATTTTTAATGAAGATATTAATTTATTATTTACACACTAACAAACACAATATTAAAGAAAAATACAATAATTAAGAGTAAATTACTGGGCTCTCAGATTGTTTAATGGGCCTGCGGTTTACGACCCGGAATCCAGATAATTGGATTGGGCCCGGCCCAAATACCATCGCATTAACGTTAAAAAGCTTTTACACGGTCTGTAATATACTATTCGGCCCAAATTTTGTCAAAGTTTGACCTTCTTTTTATTTTTTATTTTTTAAAATTTTTTTATGAAAAATAAAAAAAAGAAAGAAATATAATTTTATATTTTTATAAATTTGAAGGACTATAAATTAGTTTTTTTTTTTTTTTTTCGAAAATATTGTTTTTTTTTATGGAAGTTTTTGTATTACTAATTTAAAGGCTATAATGTATTTATTTACACGTAGTTTTCATTTATAATTAAAAATTTAAAAAATATGGTATAAAAAACTAATAATTTTATATAAATAAAATAAATTTGTTCTTAAATTAGTCTAAACATTTTATAATGGATGAAATTAAAATCTGTTTTTAAAAATAAAATAAATCTTTTTCAGTAAGTAATTAAATTCATAATTAATTAGAAAAATATTAGTATTACATTTTTGTGATGACCAAAAAAAAAAAAAGAAAAAGAAAATTAAGGCAATGGCTGTCCTGCGCTCCTCGGCCTACCATTTCTCCAGACCCGTGAAACCGTCGTGGAAGATCATCACCATCACCAGAACCTCCGTCATGTTTTTCACCACCTCAATCACCATAGCCATCCTCTTCGTCTGCTCACTAAATTACACCTTCAAAACCCTCTTCTTATTCCGCCCAAAACCACCCACCGTCAGACTCAACTCCCTCTCTCTTCCGTATTTCGCCACCACGCCCACCAACCTCGGCGCCATCTGGATTGCCAACTTCACCATCTGCAACCCAAATGCAGCCGTGGAACTCGCCATGCACCGCGTCGAATCCTCCGTCTTCTACAGAAAAGATTCCGCTCTCTGCGTGACGACCGCCGTGGATGACGACCGTCTCATGCTGGATTTCAAGGAGGAGAGGCTGATGTACATGAAGTTCGCGACGACGGGGCGGGAGGATGACCGGCAGCCCATCGTGGAGTACTCGCTGTTGAGGGAGGTGGAGGAGGAGGTGAGGAGCGGAACGGTGCGGTTTGACGTGAGGATGAGTATATACGGGGTGTATAAATCTGGATGGTACTGGTCAAAACGTGCGGTGATCATAACACTCGACTGCATGGATTTGGATATTGCTAGTGTAGGAGAATTAATTGATGGGATTGGGGGTGGCCCACGGGATTGCCCTGCTGATCTACTGATGATTTATGATGATCATCATGCATGATCAATTGAATTTTGTGTGTGTACATATATATATATATACATATGCACAGAAGCTTGTAGTTATATATGAAGAATTTCTACATTTTCAGCATGAATATAGTCTAATAAGTTAGAATTTCCTTTGAACGAAAAAGGATTAGATTCGTTTTTTCTTCTGTAAAACTGAATTTTTAATGAGGAATTTTCCATGTATATATACTCCATTAAAACTGAGTTTTCTATGTATCAGCACTATGCATTTAAAGTTCTGTTAGCTTTATCTTCAAAACTAAAACAGGAGCTCAGTGAATTATTTCTAATGGATAGATTAAATTCTAAATTCACATGTACCAGAGAGAATTCCTTCATAAATACGGTTGTCAAGTACTCTTTATGCCAAGAGCACAGATCTCATTGTAGAGATGATAAGTACTCCATTTTGAATCCAACTTCTTTATATATATATGTGTATAAATTAAACTGAAAAATTAATAACTATACATACATATATATGTATATACGTTGATGCTATATATGGATTGAATGTGATATTCTCTTTGTCTCTTCTTTTGTATAAATTGGTTTGCAGAAAATCATGTAGGAGAAAGATGTGTTTTCTGGATGAAATGAGTACAGCCACTAAATCTGATATACATGTGAATATTAGAGATGGTTAACATTAATTGCCCAGCAGAATAAAACAATAAAACAAGAAAAGTAATATGATTTGATATGATTTGAAAGAAATGTACCAGAGATTAATAAAGTTAGGACCAAGAATTTATGCTACCTATTTAGGAAACACAAATGAGCTAGCCTTTATAATATATATATATATATATGTACTAGATATACATATATGCTTGTGTACGTTAGAATCAATGTAAATTAGGGCTTTGTAAGAGAAATGAGATCAAAGCGACAAATAACCTAATCCAAGAATTACTAGCTAATGTCATATATATATATATATATATATATATGTAAAATTAGTAAGTGATGGTCTACAACATGATATATACAGAAAATTGAGTTTGCTTTTCTCAATTTTAGTAACAAAATATTTTTTTTTATAAACTTTTAGATTAATTTCTTTAATTATGCAAATTTCTTAACATAATATAAGTAATGAAATGTAATCCGAAAAACTTTATAATTTGTTTAAAGTCCTTCTTATGGTATTATACTACAAAAAACAAGTTCGAGTGATTAAGTTAAGAATCAAAACTTTTTACCAACTAAATGAACCATTATGATTCAAGAATTGATCAATTGGATAAGAGTGAAAATAATTAGGGGGATTTCATTTCAATTTTCCATAATCTAAATTATTTTAAGTATTTTTCTTTTTTTTTTTCGAAAAAAGAGGAAAAGAATACATATACCCACGTATATACACACACACACACACACACATATATATATATATAACCTTCTTCAAGTTCCCATGGGAAGTAAGGTCCATGCATTAGCAGCAGCAGCAGCAGCAGCAGGCACTGTAGTTTTTTCATAAAACTTTTACGTGAATGGCAACTCTTATACCAACTTTTGTTCTGTTGGCAATCCATCTTCACGTGGGCTACAAGAATCAAAAGGGACAAACACATCTTTCATTCAATCCCTTTGAAAAGAGGCCATCATCTTTTTGGGTGGAGAAAAAATGTAGACTTTTCTCATACAACTTCCATGTGCATCTTTCATTACACTTTATTACTTTATATATATATTATTTACTTACATATATAATAGTGCTTACACAGTTCACATCACACAAGCTGAAAAGAAGTAAACTTTCGATGGCATAATGTCTCAGTAAAGGGACATTAACCACTGCTCAGGATATAATTTATTAAGCAGAGTTACTGAAAATTGATAAGGCCGATCCTTTTTTCTTGGCCTTTGTGTTCATATCATTTGTTGATGATTGACACCTGGCTTGACTGGGAACAGGAGGCATAATTGCTAAATTAGTTTAATCATATCAGTTTACTACTAATTAATTATAATTAAGGGTTTAATATTGGGTTTGGGATTTCTTAATCTAAGGGCTACACTCAACAAATTTGTGGTAAGATGGAATCTTATTGGTCTAAAAAATCATGCCCACATGGGTATCATCCAATAGGCAAGTTGGGTTTAATTTATTAGCCTATATGTATTGTCATACATTTTTTTATAAGAATATTTATTCATTAAATAACATATATACATAACACTTTGCCCTACCAACAAAATTGACCTACTAAAGATAACAGAGAAATCAAGCAATTGTTGCAAGACATGTATTCTTGATGTTTGGTTGATGATCATCTTTTTTTTTTTTTTTTGAAGTAAAAGTAAATTGATCTACGAATGAAATATAGGTAGGGGATCATTTGCTTTTTGTATGCTACCAAAACCCTTTTTGCTATATAAGAAAAAATTTTCTTCCGTTATGACTAATATGAAATCGAGAAACATTTTTTGTACACCAATATAATTTTTTTTTTATTAATTTTGTTTATTTGATCTCTGTAGCAATAAATTTATTTGGTTTACTTTATTAAATATATACAAGATATTATTCTCGTAATCTTTTTTTTCTTAAAAAAAATTTCATTGATCAAGATTCAACGTATATCACCAAAGAGTATCATTCATGTATAAAGACGTCGTAATATTATTTTTCGATCATAAGATTATCATATAAAAAACACATTATGTATAAAAAAAGAAGCCGAATACCATCTTAAGGTTAGATATTACACAAAATTTTATGAGTAGTTTCTTTTATAATTATTAGAAAAGTAAATTACTTACAATAAAACGTTTTATCATTTCAACTATTATCTTGTTTAGTTACATGCACCCTCTCATTATTTTTAAACAATACAAATTTAAATACATACATATATATATATATAATGATTGATTATTCTGTTAATTTTCTTGAATGGCCCATAATCAACCTTCTTCTTCATAGAGTAAACTAAAAAAGAGAGAAAAAGAGCTTTTATAAAGTGCTTTGTGTTCTTAAAAGTGATGATGAAACCAACTTGTGTATGTCTTGTATTATATGATGTAGTTCGTGTTGCTTTTAATTTTGATTTGGTAGTAGTGGAGTGTTTATTGCCTTTTAGGAAATACAAATACAGAGAGATAGTGGCTGTAGTGTGGGGATTGTCTGCCATTGGCTAAGCTCCCATTGTAAGCGTGCCAACTCTCCCCTCGATTGAACGATGAATTTTTTTTTTTTTTTTAACACATAATATAGTAAATATGGACATTGATACAATTGCTACTAAAAATAATTAATAGTAGTATAACTCGAATCTATTTAATAAAATAGGAGTATGAAATAATTTATTTTAATAGTAAATTAAAAAAAAAATTTGTTTGACTTAAGTTAAAATATTTATATATTTTTAATAATTTCGTAATATCGAAACTAAAATTAACTCGAGGACAAGGAACCCTCTTCTTATTCTATTCTCTATATAAAATCTTTATCACATATCCTTCTCCAATATATGGAACTGGGAATAATTCATGACATTATTTTTAAAATTAGTGTCAATGCAATATATCATTTCTTATTCGCGTATGATTTACAAAGCTAATACAAAAAAAGTATCTAAATACATACTGTGAATAGAAAAACTATATATATCTTAATAAGTTGGAAAATCATATACATGACAGGCTACTCAAATTAGATATGTCGTTAATTTTATATTCTCTTACTATCATGTCAACTTATTCTCAATATCATAGTGTTTGTCAAAAGTTATATCAATTTATTATGAAGTTTTGGTGGGAAAGCACTTTCAAATGGGTAGAATGTGTATAATCCAACTAGTTAGAGTAAGTTGTCTTTATAAGATATTTGGGTAACTTTAATTTAAGCCTATGCAAAAGTTCAAGAAAGCTCTTAGTACTAAATTAGTCTTATAAATATTAGTATCTTCTAGGTCAAAGCTATCAAGTTCAAATATTTATATGGTAGTACCTTAAATCTTGTTTATCTTAAACTCCAAGTTAATTTTTTAGAAACTAATTTTAAAGACTAAAAATATAAAGTTAAGGCTTTCGAACCTCCTACCTAATTTACTTCTAAGTGTTTTTTTTTTTTTCTATGGATCAGCTAATATAAGGTAATTCTAGTCGATGGAACATGAATATTTTGACCTTTTTATTTGAGCTTCACATTTTGAACTCCTTGACATAGATCAAATTATTTTTAAAACTAAACTCTTTCCTAAGTGTACTAGATAAATGGGTTTAGATTCTTGAGAGAAAATGAGATTTTCTACCCAAAAGTGTTTATATATCTTTCTGTCTAAGAAATAGCTAGAGAAGTACAAAATCTTTTTTCCTTTTATCTTCACTTACTAGGATCCCTTATGAAATTTAAAAAATATACAAAATATATGAGAAAATTAATCCAAAGATCTTTCTAATATAAAGCTTACATCTTTTTGTAGACCTTGTAGTAGGTAGGAACCGTGCACTCATTTTACTCGATATAAACATTTATATCAATATCTTTAATTCACAATCTCTTGATAATTAGATAAATTTTTAAATTTTAGACAAAAATTAACAAAATTAAATAAAAAATTCTTGAGGCATGATATATCTAATATTACAGTGGAGGAATCAAGTAATATGGGATCAGATCTCACCTCATTCTTTGAAATTCATCCATATGTTAAAAGAATCATTTAAAAAAATAGTCAATATCTTATTCACAGAGATGAGGATAATGGTAAGTGAAGGAAAACCTAACAAGTATCTTTAAACTAATACTGTCGTGGTAAGAGCACTTGTCATTTACCAGAAGGTGTTTAATGGTTGTAAATATTAATGGAATTAATCCTTATGTGATACCTAATTGGTTTATTGTAAATATCGTTATGAAACTATTATGTCTTTAAATAATTTCTTAGCTAATTGTGTTGTCAAATAAGTTATTAAAAAACAAATACAACAACTCATAATTGTGCTAAATGAGTTACTAAATATAATTGAAATTGAGCTCTTTCCATCGAGACCCTAGTTTTATTGCATACTTTTTCTTACACCAATATTATCTTCATTATAATAGTCAAGAGCATATAGTTCAAATAATATATTTTTTCATAGTAGAGTTGATTATTCAATTTAGAGTTCTATTCATCATGTTATCAAAAAAGTAATAATTGTTCTTGCATTAAAAAAATAATAAAGAATATAAACATATCTGATTATTATATATTAAAGAGTATCGGACACTACATGATCATCCAACAACACTCACATGTAGAAACACATAACAATAGGACATTAGGTGATAAATGATAACTAGAAGGCTTTTAGTATCATAAAAGATTAGCATGCTACCAGTAAGGTCAAGTTACTTCACTACTAACATGTAGAGATCTATTTATATATCAATATTCGTACGACAACTTCTCTACTCTACTAATTTTATAAATAAATCATTGCGTAATTGTTAATCAATACCTACAATAACTTCATTACAAAATCGATAAAAAGTAATCGTCACACAGAAAATAGGTATATTTTTGTGTGTGTGTGTGTGTGTGTGTGTATATATATCTCTCAAAATTTATACCCAAAAATAAAATTGTAGACAATCAACAATGTTTAATAGACAAAGTTGAGAGTCAAAATATTTTTTTAATTAAAAAAAAAATTGGACAAAGAGATTACACATCAATTTTAGGGGTGACATTTTATACATGAACATACTTAATCCAACATGTTTGAACTTGAATCATATGCAATTTTTTCATTAACGTACGAGTTTGAGACAATAGGTCCAAGTTGGTGGGTAGGAGTGGTGGATTATGGCAAATTCAAATTTGACCTTTTAAAATCATCCGAATCTAATATGTTATGTATATATTTTTATTTTTTAGTTTTTGTTATTAGAAAAGTACTTATATTTACATAAATAAATGTAATATATATATATATATATATATTAATAAATATATTTTTAATTTTTTTAAAAAAAATAAATATAATTATATTAAATTATTAATATGAAAAAATGTCTAAATCTGATTCCGGCCAAATAACCCACAAACTTGACATTGTTTAAAAAATTTAAGAAAAAATAATCTCTTTAAGTTTAAAGTGAGCTCATAGTTAATATTTATACATAGTAGTCGATTTTGAATATGATAAAATGTATTACGAACGTGTACTGTTATTATCCCTAATCAATTGCAACAGAGCATTGCTTTTTGTCAATCACAAAATAATTCTATAAAAAAAGAATATATAGTCACCAAATAATTTTTATACATATATACTTCTTACTTTTGAATTTTGTGATTATGCAAACTTTATTCTAAAAGAATAAATTTCACAAATAAATTAGGAGAAAAGAGTAACAATTTTGCATGGATTTTTCCTTTTAACTATATATTCATAAAGGAATCTAAATATTCTACACAATGGAAAAACTTATTTAACAAATTTTAACTTGGCAAGAATGTTAGTACATGCGCGAAGTATAATTTATAAATATAGTTCTTTTTTTTTTTTTTCATTAACCCAAGAAATCTTTTCACGAGCTAAATTGTGAGGTTTTCCATATCAAATGTCTAATTCTTCCTTGCCTAGATAATCTAAAATTCTTAAATGGTTCATAAATATGTGTATATATATATATATATATATATATATATATACACATCTCTGTGTGTGTGTTCTTGTTTGTGTGCCTGCTCATGATTCTCATGAGATGAAAATTAAAAATAAACAAAAAGATATACGCATAAGCATATAAAATAATATATGTAATTCCCATGGTGCTTGCTATCCATCACGGGTAAAGAAGATATAAAATGACTCTTAAAAGAAAAAAAATCATAAAATTAAGTTATAATTAACATATACATGTTATTATTAACTTATACATAAAATGACTCTTAAAAGAAAAAAAATCATAAAATTAAGTTATAATTAACATATACATGTTATTATTAACTTATACAGTAGATTTTACTTAAAAAATATTTTATACGACAGACAGTGTCATAAAAATACTAAAGATACAATATTTATACAGACTTTTAAGATCCAAATAATCTAAAATAATCCAGACCCTTTATTACATTTCCCCTTTACAAATTAAGTACAAAGCAGTCGTCTTTGTAGCTAGAGGTTTAATTATTAATTTTTCACTTTTTGGGTTTATAAAGCTCTTGATGAACATCTATTCTTGGCCATTCCAAATTAATTAAGTCTTGCTTTCAACTTTTCGTGGTAAGCTTAACCACCGTCTAATTGATTTTCTTTATTCCTAATCCTAGGTTGATTATGAATTTATGTTAATTTCTTGCTTAATTAATCACTCTGGCTTTCTCTCTATTAATTTCTGTTACTGTACAAAAAAACCCTAGAAGAAGAGAAAGAAGAGAAGAAAGGATGGCCAGAGGAAAGATTGTGATCCGAAAGATCGATAACTCTTCGAGCCGGCAAGTCACTTTCTCCAAGAGAAGGAAGGGGTTGATTAAGACGCCAAGGAACTTGCGATTCTTTGTGATGCAGAGGTTGGTCTTGTCATCTTCTCCAGCTCTGGGAAGCTCTATGAATTTGCAAGCACCAGGTTTGGCCATATCTAATTGTCTTTAGCTATAAACAAATTTCTTAGTGTTCTTGCTTATCTCAGATTAATCTTTCTTTTTAAATAATGGAATAATCTACTCATGAAGAAACTGATATATTTTTTTCAAAGTTTATAATAAGACAATCTATAAATTAAAAGTAATCTTATATAAATCTTAATGGTGAACTAGCTGATAAATGTTCATATGGCATATATTTATATGAAAGATCTATCTTTCTTGCATCTATATATTAGATTTCTATACAGCAATATCAACTAACAACCTTTGTTCTCAAAAATTTGTAAATACAGCTATATACATAGAGGTAGAGACGAATAACCAATATTAATGTACTGTAGCATGCATTCAGTTGACAAAGGCAGTTTGTGTATGATCTACACGGCTTGTCTGTATATATACACGACGCGACATAATAATCTTATAAGATTTTCAGTGCTCTTGCCTGATTACGTTAAGTAAGCTGACACCCTTTAGACTACATCTGTATACGTACAAATACATACATATGTATATAGATAGCCAAAAGATCACTAGGCTAGGCTGCAGGGAGATTCAATTACGAACAAGAACAAAGCAGTCTAGATTAATATTCCCCTGCCAGTGCCAAGAAAAATTAGCTAGGTGTTCCAACCCAAATGATTGTAGGTTTCTACATCAACAAACTCGAACCATCAAATGATGAAAACCTTAAAAATAGGCAGTTCAATCCTTTCAACTAGATACACCCCCCTATATAGGTGTTTAGTTTGTCACTAATTATATGCTGTTCATTAGATATTCTCGCTTTACAGGTGCTATATTATCTGCAAACACACTCATATACATACATCTGTAGGGATGATAGTAAGTATGTGTGAACTTTACTGATTAGAGACATCAAGCCAAATCAATATTATATACGTCTAAAGAACAAAGCCGAAACAACCTCATGACAGACATCAAAAACCCAGTTAGAAAAACCACAAAACAATCGGATATACAAGCTATATTGTTCAGCCTATATATAGAGGAGTAATTAATATATGAGTGTAGAAAAAGAGTAAGATATCACCTTACTAACTATATATATCATTGTGCATTGAAATACTATATCATGATATGAAATATATAGAGAGAGGGGCTAAAAATAGTCGGGTTGGGAGGAAAACTTTTTTCAAGAAGATCATTCTGATAAGAGAGACATAAATAACAATAGAATTTTACTTAGAATATCAGAAGATTAAGATTCCGTGTAATTCTCTTTAAGTTATTAATGATTGCATAATTTACATTAGATAAAATCAACTGTTAGTTCTTTTATTAAATATTTCTTATATTTCTATTGATATAACAGAGACTCTCATTTAATCTAATCAGTTCTACTTGTTTTTTATATAATCTAATTCAATCTAATTTACATATATATTAAAAACAACAAACAAAATTTTGAAATTTAGAATATGTATATACATATATTTAATATATATATATATCTTTGAATATATAGTTAAAATATTTTGTACAATTCAATCCACTTCTATCCAAAAATTTAGTTTCAAGACCATTGTTCAACCCTAAAAATAAAGATTTTATGCTTTTCTCTTAGATAATTGTTTTAAATATTAATTAAATTAAATTATTAACTACACCAATTTTTTCAATATAAATACAAAATAAATATTTTAAAGTTCTCTAAATCTAGTTTACCTAATAAAAATTAAAAAAAAATAAATAAATGCCCACATTTTTTAAGAATTTTAATATAATAATTTTATATGTCAAAATTAATATCATAACCTAGACATTTAATATATAATCATAGTTACTATATTCATGTTGTTGTGGGTTTATATCCAAATCTATCAATCAAAAATCAGATAAATATGTAATTTGCACTATATAATATATTTTCATTTAAATTTCTGTTATATTTGTATTGTATACTTATTTTTTTTCATGTAATTAAAATTTTAAATTAAGTTAAACTTTTTCCACTGTTATAAGGTGTACTTATTCTTTTACTTTATCAATTAATAAGACTCAACTTATTAGTCATGTTTATATCTAAACTATAAGATGTTCTGTTAATAAAGTAGTGATAGATAAATAATGTATGACTAATACTTCAAGTAAAAGATTTTAAATTCAACAACCGAGAGAATTAACCCGAGATCTTTTCTCAACAAGATTATATTTGAAAATTTATTGAATCGTTTGCACTTTACTCAGTTATTGTGATAAAACTAATCTAAAATGTTTTAGTTATACTATAAATAGTTTGCTAAAAATTAAATTTAT